AAGTTCATGGTGATTTTTTTACAGCCCTCATAACATTCCCTGGAGGTGTAATTAAATAACAACAACCCCATTGAAATGTGGATGTGCAAAAATTACACTCTTCAAGCCAACTTATATATTGTGTGTGTGTGCTTTTCCTACGGAAGGTCACTTTGGAAGGATACAATAATGATGATAATAAAGAAATTTTCTCCAATCCAACTAACGTGGGCGGATGTGGAATTTATAGTTCGACGTGTGGTTTAATTTCGGCACTTAGAGCACAATTCTTACTCCGGGGTTTTGCCCTCCAATTAGGGTGGGATTTACTATGTTGGCAACGATAATAAAAGTTTTGGTAAATAAAATTTAATTTAATTACAATGTGCGTTACAAGTAAAACTTCTCTAAAGCTTTTTTATGAGACTATTTGACGCGGTCTCAGGAGTGAATTTACCTTCATTTGGGATCCTCCATGTCCAAAAAAGCTCAATATGCTCAACTCCCACACGTTGACTGTGTGTGCGGAAGACGGTGGTGGATAATAGGGAAAATGAAGCATATAATACAAGTGAGTTGAATGCCATGATGTCATTAAGCTCAGCGTACATCCCGGGGCGGTTTACGTAACAACACCTCCAAGTCCTCTTATACCTTTTCCACTCTCCGATCTCGTTCGCTTAGGTACACTTTGCCGCTGAGTGGGACTCTCCGGTGGGTAAGGATGTGGCAGAAGGACGTCACTTTATTCACTGCAACCTTCTCGCTGTGCTGCCTGTCAGGGGGCGAAGAATCTTTTCCCGCGTGACGCCTGGAAGTCTGAATTTTCCACCAATCTTCCCTCATTAATAAGTAATTGTCATGCCAAGTTTGAAGCCATTCAGCCTAGTCCTTAATTCCATAATTGACTAGAGCAATAATCAATGATATTTCAGCTGCGCCACAAAGGATATTTTATCAAAGAAATAATCAGAAGGACTTCTTATTCCAGAAAGAGAGTTAGAACGAATTTTGCCTAATTTTCCTGATGTTTAAGGCGAATTCTGTGATGTTTATTTCTAAGATCCATCAAGAATTGTTTCCTAAGATCTTTCTTATGAAACGCTTTTATGCCAGAGAATATGTAAACGCAATTAGAACCATTTTCCTGTCATGCATCAATAATAAATTACTGATTTTCTGGGCATTATAATAAGAAATTGAGTAAAAATCACAATTTCTTAAGAGCAAAACGCTGTAATTTTTACCACTACATGATTGTTCTTAAACTATCAACTCGTCCTCCTATTCTACACTTCATAAAAACATATGTGAACAGGATTTGGGCTGTGATTGTGCGGAAGAAATGGTACAAAAGCGTTAAATTGTAGCTAAAACATACAAAAAGCAAGTTGACAAGTTCAATTCAAGGTGTCCTATAATGTAAATGTCTTCTAAACATTCCAAATTCATGATTAATGTGGTTATGCTATTCAGTTTCATGGTTATAACATTGATTTAGAGCAAAATATGCAGTGTCCTAACTTAATTTTCGCTGTCCTTTTGCGCATATCATAAAATTCTTATTATTTTTTGTCTTAAGGTAAATACCTCGAAAATTGAAAGAAATACCGAATTTTTAGCACCAAAATTTCATAAGTGTCCTCAGTTAATTTTCGCTACTGTAAGTCATTGAGTCTTGAGAGAAATTTGTGAATTTGTAGTCAAAATTAGAGAAAAGTGATTGAGTGACTCGCCCCTCGATTTGCTTGTCTCTTGGTACGTTTGTGGGTCTCTTTGGATGGCGTTATGGCACATAGCCAGAAGCGACAAACCCGGTACAATGTTTTGATGATGCTCGGCTGAAGGTGGAAATGATGGCGGAAAAGGGAAAATCAAGAAATGGCATGATCGCATAAGCACAAAGTGGTTTAGCTGTCGCTTCGTGTAGGTGGTAAACAAGATCTTCATTAGTCTCCATTCCACCACTGCACGGGGGTTTCCTTCCCAGATGAAACCCACCCTTGGGTCGTGTTTTGTGGGGTGTTGCGCAAGAGGATGCAGGCTGATCACCGTCATGCCCGGAATCTCATGTGTGTCTGTCTGTGTGAGTGTGTGGATTTCCTGGGTTGTGGGTGGCTTTAGATGAAATTCACGTTAGATGAACGCCCACTTGAAATTGAAATTGGTGATGGCGAGAGACATAGAGAGAAGTTGACACGGATGATGAGGCTTCGTCGTCAGTGTTGTGCATTTAATAAGATTCACATTCAGTGAGGCGTCCTTTTGCCGGTAATTCAACCCTTCGCTGCTTTGTCGTGTACCTCAAACACATCCCAGTGATGCATTTGCTGGCGGCGGGAGGGTGGGAAATAAGGGGGGAGCCTTAATCGGGGACGTCGGGATACACGGCAGGATTTCAGTGCTGGGATTTCAAGGGTGGCATCGCAGGCAAAGTCTCTGGGCGAGAGTGAGTGGGAAGATGCGAAGGAACACAGAGTGAATCTCTAATGAAACATGGTACATCATTAATATCTGGAGAATTTCACCTGAACGACGCGCGGCGGAGGAAGAGTCTGACGAGGGCGGGGAGAGGAGTTCTGTCGTGTGATCTTTTAGGTGAAATTGGCAAATATCTCCTTTAATTTCATTATATAGCAGAGATTCCACTTAAAAAACTCTCTTTTCAAGCTTCATATGGAGAAAATATATAAATCTCCGACTAAAGCATCGTTGCAACTTTACTGATTTCGTATTTTAATTCGTAAAAGATACTAATGGTGGCGCTAATGTAAAGTACGAATGAAATACGAACGAGAAGGCGTTGCAAGGCAAATTTGGGAGTTTATTTAATACGAATTTCAGCTGCCAGAAAGTCATTTCATTCCGCCTAGTTTCTGGCCATTTTCCCCACGAGGAAGTTAGCAAATATTCTTCAGTGGAAGTAAAGCGCATTTTTCCGTGTTCCTCCGAAAATAATCTCAAGGAACTTCTAGGAGTTTTCGGCGATTGCCAAGGAATGTTTTCAACGCTAAGAATGAATTCAACAGGGCAAAATAGTGAATTCTAGTGACAATACATCTTCATAAGCGATTTTTCCTGATATTGGGCGTGTTTCCGATGGGATTCTTGAAGCATTCTGCTGGCCAGATTGTCCAGAAAAATGTCTTTCTTTGTGTCATTTTAGCACAGTTGCATTTTCGTGCTCCTGTCAGCCTTTTATGTATTTGAAAATTAGTTAAGAAACCAATTGGATTCCTTGGAAAAAGTCTGAAGATGTCCGGAAACACATAACCTCAATCTGGTGCATTGAAATGTGCACAATTGGTCAAGAAAATCGTAAAAATATGTAATAATTTTCATAAAAACATAATTTTTGTCTATTTTCCGGTTCTTCTCGTTTTCATGTGTCGAATAATATGAATTGACGTCAGGTGGAAACGTTTATTAGTAAATAATACGAATTGTAATCTTGCAACGCCTTTTAGCGAATTCAAATTTATGACAGCTTATTAAAAATGGTTTGAACACAAAGTTGCAACGAGCGGTGAGATTACATTCTTGTTAACAACATAAAGTGTTTTGTTGTTTGACGACAACAACGATGACGCACTCCATGGGATTTTGGGGTGGAGGAAATGAGCGGGAAAAAATTAATTTGAAGAAATCACAAAGTAATCAAAAAATTGATCGAGTGATGCTGTGTGTAAAAATCGCTTTCTCATTGTTAAAATCATTTGTCTATTTGAATCTCCTATTGATCCTCCCCAATATAATTCCTCCACAATGCCTTTTTTTGTTGGCTCCTACAAGAGATTCAAAATGCTTCAATGTGAAGAGAAGAAGAAGATCCCAAAGGGGCAATATTTCTTCCAAATGTTGATATGAGAATTGATTCATTCAGAGGCGCTGCCAGAGGTCGAGATTCCACATTGCGATAATTCAATCATTAAATCAGAAACTTACAGCTTTTGATTGTCATATTTTGTATGATCTTTTTTTTTTGGTATCTTAGAAAGAGTTTTGTAACGATGTGAATGAGTTTGGAGAGAAGTTCATTGAATTGAGTGCTGAAACTGTGCAAAAATGTGGCAAAATCAGCAGAAATGAAGCGTCAAATTGCATTGCAAACCATGCAAAATTGCGTCAAGAAATCACACTTGAGCGTTCAGTCATTGCTGGAATTTCGGCGAATCCTCTGGTGTGTTGGAAGAATTTGTGGTGAATCAGTTCTTGGAGATGAATTGATGTCTTTCTCGTGTGTGTATTTTTGTCCTTCTCACGCGGAGTTCACATGAGTGATGTGGTGGCGGCGGCCAAAAAAGGCGACCAAGACACAAATTAAAAATCCATTGGTCGATTAATCAATCATGAGTGCGTCTATGTGTCTATGGCGGGTGTGTACTGGAGTCGTCATCGTCATTGTTTCACACACAATATGAGCGACGACGAGAGCCGCGAGAGGCGCGATGGTGACACGATAAACTCCCAGTGGGTGAGTGGCGTTTCGACTGACAACGTGCCAAGACAATTGCGCCGGCTGAGATGCGTGAACTTTTTTGGGCAGTTCATCGGCTGTCCAGGAGAGTGACTCTTCAAAATATTGTATTTTGCCCGCGCGCGCGTTCTCGAAAAAGTCCTCCCGTTGCGCTGCTCGACCTCTAATGATGATGATTTGTTGATTCTCTATTGGACCATGGGGAAGAAGAGCGCAGCGATTCCTCCACAATGGATTGAACAAATTGGTCAAGAGACTGAAGAGGAGTGATCGTGTGTAATTGCCTTTTCGTCTGTCTCTCCTCTCTCTCTCGCTCAGGCGATTTCTGTGTGAATGAGCATTCGAAATATGGGTGTGAGAATGAAATAAATAAAAATGCTGGCGAGGAAGTGGATGAGAATCCATTCATCACCTCAATGGGATATTCGCGGTGATTTTTATGGCCAAAATTATTGCTGCCTTTTTTATGGCTCACATATTTTATTTATTTATTTGCCAAATGTAATTGATTTACAATTTGTTGGTTTCCTTAATTTCTTTTCAGATCATCGACGCCGAGATAAATGACCAAGAAGCTTTGGTGAGTGAGAGAAAATTGTTGAAGTTTATTCGTTATTCTTCTGTAATCCTCTTGCTTTCTTAAGGTCTCCGATCCGAAGGCAAAGGAGTGGCTCGTGAGCGCCGCCAGATGCAATTATCAGGAATTGTCTAAATTAGCCTCGGATAATCCACGATTGGTGAAACTTCGGGTGAGTCAAGCTATTCAATACACTCAAAAGTCATCACTGAAATCACTTCTCTATCGAAATTTGCCGCATTTTAACTCAAACAGCCACTAATGGTTTGAGAAAATGGTTATTCTTGCGCTGGAAAAATTATTTTGTAAATGTTTCGGTTGATTTTATTGGACTAAAATATGGCAAATTTAATAGAATAATGAGAAAATATTACTGTTAAAAAGACACTTTTTAATAGATTTTGAGTATATTTAATCCAGACAAGCTGTAAGAAATCAATTTTTATTACATTTCAATGATTTTTTTTCAAAGTTCTGTGTTGAAGAAAATAAAAAAGCTATATTTTCTCATTTTAATTCATTTATAAACAAACTTTTGGGATCAAAGAAGCATTTTTTGCGAAATACTGCAGTTTAAGATAGATTTCTTGGGGAAAAAATGAACGACGTTAATTTATAAAAAGTTGATTTTTTATATTTTACGTCGAAGCTCAAGAAAATTGTGAACACTCGTGTTTTTTTCATAAATCAGATTTTTTACTTTTTCCCTATAAAATACAAATCTCAATATTTTTTCAGTAGATAAACAGACAAAAAGCTATCCAAAAATAGTTTTCAATTCACCCATTGCTATAAAAATACTTTTAATTTCAAATCCAATAATGTTTTCTGCAAATTATCCATACAAATAGACTTTAAACACTCTCAAGTTCTTCCTTTGAGAAATTCCCACGTGTTTTAGGTCTGTAATTAAGATCAAATGTCACAAGACGTCTTCTTTCGTGCTCCAGTATAAGAAAATCATTAGTGTGACAGCTGCAAATTTCCATTTGCATTCTGTGCATGATAATAATTCACTTTCATGTGACACCGATTATGATGGGAATCTCTTAATTGAAATCTTAAATCTCTCTCTTTGGAGATTTTATCGATATTTAAAAAAGTTTTTTGCACTGAATTGTAAATTGAAGTGAATTGAGTGGAGAGAAGAAGAAGAAAAAAAATGAGGCGATGTATTTATCTTTGGACTCTCGAGAAACTGTTTATTAATTACAATTTCATCTATATCTGGTTAATATCTTAAATATGACTTGACGAATTTGAACTATTAGACAGGCGAGTTGATTAAGGTTGGGAGAGAGAGAAGTTAAATAGATTTTTTTTGAACCTTCTTCACTCGCCACTATTTACAGCTTATATTGAATTCAATCGAGTTGAATTGGAAATAATTTGTTTGGTATGAAAAATATTGTATTTTGATCTCAATCTTGGGCGCTGTTCGTGCTCCAAAATGAAATTAGTTTTCAAAATATGTTTTTCTAATTGTTTTCTCTCCTCATCGTGTCTTATACCCATCATAGAGTTTTCAATTGAGTTGTGATGAAAAGGTAGTTTTATTTTTCATGCTTCATAATCTCTTGCGTGGAGTTTACTGACATTGGAAATTAGTTGGATTTGTGTTGAATTTTCTACCAAGCAATTAAAAAAAAAACTGTCTTTCCTGGGAACTCTTCAGCAATGTGTTTTGGGGGTGAAAAATAATATGTGAAATATCAGCTAAAATGTCAGAGAATTGAGGCAATTTTCACATATCCTTTCGCCCTTTTCTTGGGCTCTCTTTTGGACAAGGCGGAGTGGAGAAAAAAGATGACAAATGTGCAGATGAGAGACAGGAAGTGCCTCTGAGGTCCATGGGAAGAATATTAGGCCAGGATCGTAAATCATGAAGTTGTCCAATGATCCTAATTAGACAATGAGACGCAATCCGACACTGTGGCGCCAAATTGTGGCCTGCGAAGCAGTCAAAGATATATTCAAATTTCAGCTTAGAAAGATTCCCTGGGATTTCTGCATATCTTTTCTGTAGCAAAATATGGAGTATTTAGTGTCAACACGTTGTCTTTCACGCAGAATCTTCTTCTCTTGTCTCTCCATGTCATCCAATAATCGTTGAATATGTCCTTCTGATCCTTCAGTGAATACACTTCAAATGAAGCACTTCATCGAAGAGAGATTTCTTTCACCATTGGCGCTGATATTTGAGTGAGAAACACATGTTTTTACCCTAAAAGTTCTGCATCTCTTTTGTACTGTCATCATCACTTTGCGAGAGAGAGAGTCTCAAGAAGTGTACAATCTCAAGTAGGTTCACGGAGAAGAAAAAAGGGTCCTGAAGAGGGTGTATAAATTACAGAGGGAGGAAGAAAAAAATGCAGAAATCTCTTTAAAATGACAAACATATGTAATGCAATCTGTAAATGGTTGAATTGTGTGATAAATGCTGGGCGAGAGATGGTGGAAGAAGTGTTGGGAAGAACACTTTGACGATATTTACAATAATTGTAATGTGCAGAATAGTATCAACTGCCACATGCATATGAAGGGATGTAACGACATCCCATTAAGCATAAACCAACCAGACACACAGAGTCATATTGTCATTCGCTTTTGTGTGACTGTTTCTCTGCTCAAATGGTCAATTGCAGTGACTTTATGGGAGAGTTGTTGAACATCACATAAAATGGACAAAGTTTTCGGTTTTGTGGGTGAAAATATTTTGTGCAGTTTGTGCTGCCAAAGTATTGTAAAAAGAGACTTTAGAGGATCACTTGAGACAATTGTTACACAGAAATTGTCTAGGAAAAAGTTAATAAATACATGTCACAATATTGTCTATCCTTCCCTGGGCAATAAATTCAGCCAGTTTCTCAGAAAATTATCAAATTTCAGGGATTCTCCAAATTAGATCCTTTCGATACACATTATGTGTTGTGAGGTTGTTATTAACCAGAGATTTATTGTACGACTTTTCCAATTAAACCACAAGGAAAGCGAGAGAAGAAATTATGAGGGATTGTGCAGATTTCAACCCTGAAAATTGATCCACAAGCAAAAGAAGTGCATTTAGAGGAGATGAGAGCGAGAAAAGCGACTCTCTAAATGGGAAACCGTCCAGCGGAATATATAAGAAAAAAAATGGAAAGACAGTCAGAGCACACAACACACAATAATGACGACAAAGCGACATAATTCATTTGCGAGTCACTTCCAATGACTGTAAATGGTTGTGGCCTCATCCCAGAGGAATTCACAGCGTGTTTCTTGCCTCTTGCTTGCTCGCCTTTTCGCCTGAGCTCGTGAAGAAGGACAAGACCTTCTTTGCGTGGTAAGACTCCTGGCGCCAATACTGAAATGTCGATTCCAAAATTCATTCTGACGAGCTGTTGGCTGAGCATCTCCGCCAGTTGAAGCAGTAGCACAATCCGTGATATTGCCTCCATAACAATGTCTCGTTGTGGAATTATTGCAAAAAAGAATGATCATAGCACGAACACTGGTGCCAGAAGTGAGAGTAAAGGGTTGAAAGAGTTGCTGGAAATGGGAAAAAATTAACTTTTCATTCTTCTAGCCAATCCCAACGAACACAAGATGCTAAATCTCAGAAGTTGAACTTGAAATAGTTGATTTTTGTGCTATTATCCGCTCAAATTTTAGCCATTCGGTTGATACACTAAATGCATTAAATGCACAGATGTCGCATCATGAAAAACCATGCCATTTCAATCATATACTTCGTAATTACAACACTTAAGTGAATTGTATAAATAGTGCTATGCAAATAACCTCAAAAGTGAGAGATTCACATGGAAATCGGATGAAGGGAAGTTAATGGAAGTCGGATTTCCTGGTTTACTGCTAAATTTTTATCAGAAAAAAGCTAAAAATCGAGCACAATTTTTAGCGAAAGAAGAACAGAAAAATTCGGAGCATTGCCAAGAAAATTGATGAAAAATTATCTTAAGAATGTGCTGTAAATCGATGTATTTTTAACACTATTGAGTTTCCTCCATCGATCACTGCAATCGCTGAACGATTCCATTTCAATACTTTGGCTCAGCACTTTTTAGCTGAATTAACTGCTCATTTTGAGCTCTTTTGGCTTGCTGGGATGTATTGCGGTTATTTTAAATCCCAAAGTCGCAAAAAAAAGTCACTAAATTACCGATGATATTTAATTCCGCGACTGTCTTTCGTATGATTTTGCCTGCTTAGGCAACACTGGCGGGATAAATGGCATTAAATTGTTATGTGGTAATCCAATAAAATATGAATCAGACGCCACGAAGGGGTTGGGGGAAAAAGTGAAAAAGGGCCAAAATGGGTAACATATTGATACAACCCATAAACACTTGAATTTGCTATTGCATCCATTCGCGTCGCCCCAAACCATTCTGCGAGTGTCATCCGCGTGACTCCCTCACCATGTTTCAGCCCTAAATTTTCATGCAAAATGAGGCGATTGAAAATGTAATTTGTAATTTCAATAAATAATCATATTAAGTAATACAACGCGGCATGGGCGCATTTATTGTATGGAGCGGAAAACCATTGTAAAATTTTGGTTACATTAAAAACATTTGGTGTGTGTGTGTGTGTGTGTTTGTATTTTGTCAGAAATTTATACAATTTTGGATATGCGAGAGACAAAAACATTGTTTGGAGGTGAGTGGGCTGAAAAACATATAATTCAGAGATTTGAAAATTTAATCCGCTCTCAAACAAACAAAATACTAATTTATTAGTCAAAGAGTGACATGGAAACTATTTAAAACATGCTACTATAAGTGAAAACACAACATTATAAATAAGGGGCGTTATAATAATAAATTTGCATGTGTGATTGCAATTTCCAACTACCTTTTTCATTCCTATTACTACACTATATGTTGTAATATGTGCAAATGTGTACACACTGAGAGAGAGTGTATTAAAATGGGCAAAAGAGCACAAGCAGCAGCGCGAACAATTTGCCAAGTGAGCCCGAAACTGAAAATTTACATTAAGTACACTTGTCTTGACATCGCCAAATGACAAATTGAATGTTGAGAGAGCAACATCAGGCGCGCGAAGAGGCTCAAATAGGGCACAATGGTGGGCTATATACGCATATAGTTCTGTAATCACATCGGCTCTGCCAACCCCATTCGCCCACCCGCAATCCGCCGCGAAAGA